GCTGCAGCGCCGCGGCCGGGAGCATCCCTGCGATTGGGAGCGTCCCTGCAGCCAGGCTGCATCCCCATGGCTGGGAGGATCTTTGCACTGGGAGCATCCCCATGGTCGGGCTGCATCCCTGGGCTGGGAGCATCCTCTTAGCCAGGAACATCCCCTGGGCCTAGGCTGCATCCCTGTGGCCAGGAGTTTCCCTGCAAACAGGGGCATCCCCGCGGCCGGGAGCATCCCTGCGATTGGGAGCGTCCCTGCAGCCAGGCTGCATCCCCATGGCTGGGAGGATCTTTGCACTGGGAGCATCCCCATGGTCGGGCTGCATCCCTGGGCTGGGAGCATCCTCTTAGCCAGGAACATCCCCTGGGCCTAGGCTGCATCCCTGTGGCCAGGAGTTTCCCTGCAAACAGGGGCATCCCCTAGGCTATGGCTGGGAGCATCCCTTGCCCTGGAAGCATCCCTAGGCCGGGAGCGTCCCCTGGGCCCGGGCTGCATCCCCACAATCAGGAACATCCCCATGGCAGGAGCTTCCCTGGGCCAAGAGCATCCCTACAATCAGGAACATCGCCCAGGCCAGCAGCATCCCTGTGGCTAGGATCAACCCTTGGACCAGGAGCATCCCTGCTGCTGGGTGCATCCCCAGGCCCACAGCATCTCTGCAGCCAGGCTGCATCGCTGTGGCTGGGAGCACTGCTGGGTTGGGGAGCATTCCCGTGGCTGAGAGCACCCGTACGGCCAAGCCCCAGCCTCCCTGGCAGGCTGCATTCCTGTGGTCGGCAGCATCCCCATGCCAGGCTGCATCCCCACTGCCAGGAACATTTTCTGGGCTGGGAGCATCCCTGCAGCCAGGCTGCATCTCCTGGACCTGGAGCATCCCCACAGCCCGGATCATCCCTTGCGCCAAGAGCATTCCCCGGGCTGGGAGCATCCCCGTGGTGAAGCTGTGCCCCTGGCTCTGGCCTCTCCAACAGGCTGCATCCCTGTGGCCAGGACAATCCTGTGGCTCGCAGCATCCCTTAGCCAGGCGCCATCCCCAGGGCCGGGCTCCGCTCTCTCCGGCAGGCTGCGTCCCTCAGCCGGGCTCCATCCCCTGGGCCGAGCTGCCTCCTTCCACCGGGCTCCAGCCTCTCCTTCGGGCTCTGCCTTCAATTCCCTGTGGGAAGGGGAGGCCTTGGGAGCCAGAGCCTCTGGAAAGGCCTGCAAGGCCTTTGGCATGGTGGGAATCACCTGTGCCCTTGTCCTGGTGTCTCCCCTTAATGCGGGGCAGACGGGCACAGGGAATTTAGGAGGGTTTCTGAGGCCTGAAGCCCTCCAGCATGGCACACATGAGGCCTTGCCAATGGAAATCCCATTTATCACCTACATTGTGGGGTGTAGGTGGGTAAAACTTGCACACGGAATCCCCTGGGTGCAGGAAGGGACGGATGGACCCGGTTCCCATGTCCTGGCGTGAAGAAACTCCCTGGGAGCGAGCTGAGTCCGCGCGCTTGGGCTGGCCCCTTGCTACCGTGTGGGGCATGGGTGGCACGAGGCTGCGGCCGGTCCCGTCGCGTGGCCTGGTGGCACTGTGGGGACACCACAGGTCTCCAGCCTGGCAGATAGAGGAACCGGCATCCACAGGAAGCACCGGGACAAGCTGTGGGGTGGCCCCAGCACCTCACAGGCCCTGCGGCCAACAGGGCACGGACTTTTTTTGGATCCAAGATCTCATTTTTTATTGGATCCAAGATTGCTTTTTTTTTCTGGTTAATCCTGATATGCTAAAGCCTGATTTTTCAGGATTAATAGTAGTGCCATGATTCATTATTATTTTTTCCTTTTTTTAAACCATCTTAGAGTAGAGGGAAGTGCCGATGTTTTCCACACTGCGATTGCCCAGGGAGCTGCTGGCACCGGTCTGGGCCTGAGCTCCTGCCTCGAGGCGCTTTGGGGATGGATTCAGGAGCCATTGGCCAGGTTGGGTGCCTGTCCCTAGGGAACGGAGACTTCCAGGTCTCGAGCAGGTTCCGGGAAAAGTTACTGGCTGGCGCAGGAGCATTCAGTGCTTTGGGAGGAAGCTCCTGGGAAAGCATGGTGGCCATGTCCAGGCGTGCGAGGACTGTGGCAGAGAGAAGGTTACGGGCTGCATTGCACAAGCCGGGGTTCCTGGGATTTCCTTCCTCGCCACCAAGGACGTGGATTCCCTGGTGTCTAATACAAAGGGCGAACACGCTGCTCCCCATCCCTGCTGCTCGCTGCCCTTCTGTGATCTTACCCGGCTGACCAGATTTCTACGTTTCACTGCCATGTGCTACCATTCCATAGTGGGACTGAGGCCGGGCACCCGCCGGAGGCCTGCGCTTGCTGCCTGGCATAGCGCCAGGGAAGAAGGCTTTCCCAAGACGCTGCCAGCGGGATCGTCCCCGCTGGGAGCCGGAGCACCGCGTGGGCACCGCGTGGCCACCAGGCAGGGCCGGCCCCAGTGTTGACGTCTATGAGGCTCCATGGGCACCGGGTGCTGCCACTGGCCACTCGCTTGGCGAAAGGGGAGGGAAAATGCCGGTTGAGGCTGGGAATGGCATCCCCACTGCGTGGCAGCTCCTCCGGGATGAGCCCCGCGAGGCTTTCCTGGAATTGCCCTTGCTCCTGGGGCTTGCGGAGCCCTGGCTCTCTCTCTGCTCGCTTCTACTATACCACATATATATTTTTATGGATGCTTCTCATATACCTCTACCTACACGTATACACATGCATTCTTTTATTGAGAATTTAGTGTTTCTTTGGGATAAAAGTGGACATAGCGGATGCTTCATCTCATATGTAAGTGGCTCTGACTCATGGAAGGAGCAGGGCCCAAGTGTCCTGGCTGCTGCCTGGTGCCACAGCCCAGGAGGGACCTGTGGACAGTTTTGTCTTTGGGACTTTTGGCTGAGCTGGAGCCCCAAATATTGCCCCCAGGGAAACAGGGGAGCAAGAGCCACTGAAATACAGGGCTTAGCAGGATGGATTTGCAGACCAATCCCCCAGGTGCTGCTGGCAGCAGGTTGAGTTGCTTGGGTGCTAATTCAGCTCTCACTTGGTGGCCCCATAATTTGCCTATAAATAAGCAGGAATTAAAGCACCTCAGGCCTAGGCTGGCTCCTGCCAGGACTTCCTGGGCCTGGTGGCTCCCTTCCTGGAGAGCAGGGCTGGCAGGTGCCTGTACTGTCCCTGGTGCTTAAGGGCTCTTGTCCCCAAGGTGTTTTGGACCCCTCTGCTCACCCATTGCTGCAATGTTTGGGGCTTTAGCAGGGAAACTGAGGCAAGGAAGGGGTGCCCGGCTGCGGGGATGTGTCGCTGGGTGTTTGGGGGCTGGATGCTCCTCACGAGGACGAGCTGGTGGCCCCAAGCAGCACCTGTGCTGGCTGTGCATCCCCGAGCAGCGATGAAGGCTGGGACCATGCTCTGCCTCCCCACCTCGCCCGCTCTGCGGGCGCCTGGGCACCAGGTGCGAACCCTTCCTCGCTGGCAGGGGACCCGCAGGCACCGCTCGCCCCTCTGTGCGCTTCTTCTTGGGGTTTTCCCGGCTGGTGAATGGCCTGATACCACCCGAGCTGTTTCCCTCTCTCTTGGTGTCCGTGGGGCTTCCAGCAAAACCAGAAGAGCCCTGAGCTGCTCCGATCGGGACGTGGGGTTCCCTCTATTCCTGGCTGTTGCTTATTACTTATTTTTAATTTTATTGCTCTGGACTCTGTTTTCGGGGCCGCATGGTGGTGGCATAGCACCATCTAGTGTGAGTGGGGACTGATCCATTGGGAAGCGAGCTCAGGAAGCACTGGCGCTGCAGCGAGGAGGCCGGTGCCCTGCGCTGCTTTATACCTGGGCTCTGCCGGGCCGTTGGATACTCATTTCCCGTTGGAAAGGAACAAGGAGCAGATGTTCCTGTTCCCAGCCCTGGCCCTGGGCAATGCTGGGGGATGCTCCAGCTGGTGGGGGTCTCTCTGCCCCAATCTTGGATATATCGGATGGGGGGAGACCAACCCCCTGGAGCCCAGGGAGGGCTGGGGGGAGAGGATCACGCGTTGTCCTTCTGTCCCCTCCGGGGCGGCAGCGAGGGTGGTGCAGTCCCTGGATGGAGCGATGCTGGAGATGCTTGGGAAGAAGGGTGGCTGGGAATGGGGAAAAGCACAGCTCCAGGAACCTGCTTGTGTGCCAAAGGGGTCCTTCTTCCCCACGGGAGTCCCATGCGTCCCTCCTTGGGACATTCAGGGAGCAGTCTGGGGATCCGCACCCCAAAGTGGAGCCCCCTTGGTTGGGAGGAGGCCACCAGCCCTGGGAGCTGTGGAGCTGTCGCCATGAGCAGCCCCGCGCAGCCGAGGGCTCCCACGGCGCCTCTCGCCCTGCCTTGCAGAGCAAGCTCGTCAAGTACTTCAGCCGGCAGCTCTCGTGCAAGAGGAAGGTGGCCCTGCAGGAGCGCAACGCCAAGCTGGAGGGCTTCCCGCAGCTCCTGCACTGGTTCCGCATCGTCGACATCCGCAAGGAGGTGATGGAGGTAACGGCCCCACGGCACGCGGGGCGGTGCTGCCGGGGGGCGCCGTGGCTGGGGGACATTCTGGGATGCGGGTGCTGGAGGAGTCTCCCTGGTGATGCCCAGCAGGTTGGGAAGGGCCCAGCCGTCTCTTGGGCAGGTGTTCTTGGGATGGGGCATCTTTTCTCCTCCTCTCTCACTTGTGCTCTCCCGCAGGAAATCGCGCCGGGGCAGCTGAGCCTGGAGGAGCTGCTGGAGATGACGGACGACCAGGTCTGCGCCACCGTGGAGAAGTTCGGGGCCAACAGTGAGGAGTGTGCGCGGCTCAACGCCTCCCTCTCCTGCCTCCGCAGCGTGCACAAGTCGGGTGAGCAGCGCCGCGTGGCCCGCGAAGCCTCCTCCCGCTGCCTCTTTGGAGTCTTTATAGTTGGTTTTTTATTTCTGAGTGATTTGGGATTGCTTTGCTAAGGACGTGTAGCTGGTGCCATCCAGCTAAGGGCTTTTGCCGTGGCAGGTTCCAGCCTAAAGAGCTGCCTTGGGCAGCTGGGAGTTGGGAGAAGGGAGATCTCAGGCTTGGCAGCTGCAGCTGGAGCTTTGCTGTGTTGCTCCATGCTTGGTACAAATAAAAGCCTCAAGAAAGGCAGTTTGGGGCCGCCCTGGCCCTGGCTGTGCTCATGGATGCAGGATATCCCTGCTGGGTTGGAGGGGAAAAATCTCTGATGCCATTTGGGAGAGAAGCGGGTTTGGCCGCGGCTGCCCATCAGAGGCACCCACTTGCTAAGGGTCCTGCTCTCGGGGCTCCACGCGCTTCTCTGGGGAGTGACGAGTTTGTGAGGTCCCTGTGCTCTGCTCCGCACCGTTCCCGGCTC